AAAAAAAAAAATTAAGAATTTCAAGGTGGCCACAGCACGTGTGCTTTAAAGCAAGCACAGGGTCCTTCTAAGTGTGGGTCCCTCTGTGACAGCAGGGGTCACCCAGCCAGGAGGCCGGCCCCCGCCTGAGCCCCACCCCTCAGGGTCCTACCGCACTCAGACTGAGCAAGTCATCAATGACGGAATCACCCTCCAACTCCACGCTTCCACTGCAGGGGGCACGGGTTCGATCCCTGGTCAGGGAACTAAGATCCTGCAAGCCAAGTGGCGTGCCCCCCCCCCAAAAAATAAAAAGAATCACCCTCCAGAATGGAAACACCTAGTTCAGGGTTCCCAAGGACAAGGTTTGGTAGAAAATAAATGACCAGCATCCTTGGCAAGTTGGTGGCTTTGGGCTGGAAACGTGAGCCTGCCTTGGTATGAATCATTACTGATATATATCACTGGAAAGGCGCTTACGTGATTCAAAGTTTCCATGGAGCTAAAAAAAAAAAAAATGAGAAACATCTGTTGGAGCGGTAAACAGCTGTCCCCCCAAGTTTCCCGGCTCTGAAAGGATGCCAGCGAGGGTGGGGCTCCTCGCACACCTGCTGCTTCCGTGCTCTCGTGACAGGGCCTGCCAGGTCCCCAGCCGGCGTGATGACAGCAGGCTCCTTCCAAACAGGAAGAGAAGTCGTAACTCAAAACCCTCCCTTCTTCCAACCCTGAAGGAAGCCAAGCCTCTCACCACAGGAGGCTGTTTTGTTTCCTTCTGGAGAGGGCAGGAAGTGGGGGACTTGGGAAATCTATTGTCAACAGATCTAGGATGTACTCAAGACATCCAGGAGATGGAAGCCCAGGCCCGCGGGTTCGAGCCATTGACATTATGGTTCAGTAACAGAAACAGAAATTCCATAAGCGGTGGCTGCCGTGTGCAGGATATTCATTTGGTGTCACCAGGCGCCACTTCCAGAATCCAAGAGCAAGCAAAATGGCTAGCTCTCAGGAGGGCGGATGGATTTTGGAGAACTCGTATATGCCCTGCTTTTCCCCTCTGAGCAGACTGATTATGGCGTTCTTGTTTATATCAACATAGGAAGGAGGTTGGCACATTTACACATGAATCACAGCTGAAGACATTTCCTCTCCAGAGGACACCCGTCCGAATTTCAAAGATAACTTTATCTTCTGCAAACATGTTGCATCTTCTTGGTTGCCTTTCTTACCTGTTTGCTTTGCTTTCTCTTGTTTTGCTTTTTCAACCAGGGAGCGGCTTCTTACCTCTCTGGAGGCTGGTGCCTGGGTAGCCTCCCCAGAAGGAGGGGTCTCCCACCCCTTCAGGTCTGGGTGCACAGACCCAGGTCTCCAAAATTTGCTGTCAGCCTCGCGCCAGCCGCTCCGGACAGCATCTTTTGCCACTAGGGGGCCTCCCTTATCCCTAAGAGAAGTGATCAGCGGTGCAGAGACCAAGACCCGACTTCTGTTTCTACAATGTATGGTCTCCAGGGATGGACCAAGCATTGCATGACTACACAGCCCCAGACTGGTCGTGACAGGACAGATGCAGAGCCATTAAGAAGCCTTCCTTTGGCTGACAATTTCTGGACTTGCTCATGGCAACCTGGGGCTGAGGTAGGACTTGACCAGCAGTGATGCTGCAACTCCAAATTCCATCCAGGAAGCAGGCGAGCCTAGAGTGGGATGCCTGCCCCCAGGCTGTGCACCCTCTCCTGCCCGCTCCCCTCTCCCCCTTTGTGGTTGCCCTCGTTGCCTGGACACAGACCCCTCTAGATCAGAAGCAGAAGGGTCTGCAGGAATGGCATCAGAGCCCCTAGCTGTCCATGAAGTGGGTGGTGAGACCGCTCACAGCAGGAAGACCTATAGCCCAGCATTTGCCTGTAGACCTCTCAACCAGGACCTGGGGAGGGTGCCAGGGCTCACGTGGCCCTAGGTTGCTTCAGCTCGTCGACTTTCCGTTACTCGTTTGCAAAATAGGGAAGAACCCAACCGCTGAGACTTTTTGCATATTGTTTTGAGATGACGGTTCCAGGAGTTACTTTGAGCTTCTTGAAACTGGAATCGTTTTCTAAACCAACCCCTACTCGAATCTTGTAAGCCCAGCATATACCTAAGGGTGAACACAGCTGTGTTTATTAACATATATATGTGTATGCTGTGGGAACTAATCAATATATTCTAATTTGATTATTAAGGAATGTTCCAAACAGGTGGCAATGTTTAAATCTAACCTTTTAAGGCTGTTATACACAGTTGGATGCCCCAGAATGCTACTGGTGCCTTGCACGTGATAGTTACTCAATAAATGATTACTGAATACCAAAACAAAAACAAGGGACTTCCCTGGCGTTCCAGTGGTTAAGACTCCATGCTTCAACTCTGGGGGCGCCAGGTTTGATCCCTGGTCGGGGAACTAAGATCCTGTACGCTGCACCAAAAACCAAAGCCCAAAGGCAAAAAGCACGTGTGTGTGTACCCACGTGTGTATGTGTGCATAGGCATGTATATTTCTACAGTCACTCATATATTTTTCTCTCCTGGCCCTCCATCAGCAGACTCGAGACAATGTACTCCGGTCTCCGCAGCGGCTGAATCTGGGGCCAGCGGTGGCCTGCGTTGAGCTCTAAGGTGTCTGGACTAACGCTGCAGGAGTCCAGTCCTCTGGGGCGCTGGGTCGGGCCCACAGGTGCCAGCGCCCACGTGCCTCTACCCTGGAAGGTGCCACCAGAGCTCTGGACGAGCGGCGAGTGGCAGCTGTCCCCTCCCGGGCCACAGGGTAGCCCACACACATCACACGTCCCCACGAAAACCCCAGCCGGTGTTGCGGCTCCTATCTGCCTCTCCTGCCGGTCCCTGGGCCCAGCCCCCTGGGGGCCCAGACCAGCAACCACGAAGCCCCGAGGCGGGGCCTCCGTGGGTCCGCGGGAAGCGGCAGCTTGAGAAAGATGGCGAGCCCTCCGCCGTCTGGAAACGGAAGTTCCGCGCCCGGGAGCTGGCCTCCCCCAGTGGACGGACAGCGTCAAGGCGCCCACAGTCCTTGAAGGGCTTCCTGGTGACCCCGATCATTCTGTGCGCGGCCGTGGTCATAAACACGCGGGAGCACCTCTCCGCTGACGTCGTCGATAACCCCCCAGGGTCACATACTGCGAACTCCCAGCCAGAGGCGGAAGCCACCTTCCTGCTTGGCTGTCCTGCAGGAGCAGGGCTCAGCCTGGAAGGGTCTGCAGCTCCAGGGGGTCGGATAGGCCGGGAGCAGCCGTCCTGCCCTAGAGGCCACTCCGAGCATCGTCAAGAAGCCCTGGTGCCCGCTCAGGACCAGTGTGCCGGCCGTGGGGAAGTGCAGCTTCAGGAACTGCCCCAGGACATTTGACTCACTTCCATGTGACCCGCAGTAAAGCCAGAAATAAACCCTTTGATGTGTGGGTCCCTAACTGAGGAGCCGGGCTCACGGGGCCTTCCAGAAAGAGCTCCGGGTTCCGCCAGCCTCCTTCCTCCTCCCCCTTCCTCTTCCTTTTGGCAAAAGTAAAACACACAGAAAGACAGGGAAAGGCTATCCGGCCTGACATTTCCTGGCTGTCGCTGCCACCAAGTGCTTCAGAGCACCCCAAAGAGGGGACCCTGGGGGCTGGAGAGCCGTGTGTGTGCTAAGCCCTTGAGGACCGGCCCTGCCACCCAGGGTATCTTTCGTTCATTTGTTTATTCATCCAGTCCTCGTTTATTGCACGCTGGCCGGACGCCAGACCCTGTGTTAGGTGTTCTGAGAATTCCATGGTGAGCTCCCTGACCTTGGGAAGCTTCCGTTCCGGCGGGGGAACCCCACGATACACACCTCACAGACACAGGTCATGCACCCCATCCAACAAAAATGTGCCGCATGCCTAGGGCATGTCAGAAAATTAAATGATGGTGAGGGGAAAAAAAGTCATTCGGTATATAGGGAATAAGCCCCAATGGACGCCCGCCCTACACCAAAACTGCTGCATAGAAATCTGGACTGAGGAGCTGGACTGACTCAGGAAGGAGAGGGGGAGAAAGGACAGGTTCATCTCAGAGGAATCACCCCTCGGCGGCTGACCAACTGGATCTCCAGGGGCCACTTGCAGGCGTCTTCTGACGATGGTTCTGTTTGCGCAGAGGCAGCCAGACCCCGATAAGGGGCAGGAGCCCTGCCTCTGGAGAAGCCCAGGTGGGACACGTACCACCTCCACTTACCCTGTGCCCAGCCTGCGCCCTGCCGAACAGCACCTCCGAGGCATCCAGACCGTCAAAGTGTCGGCCTTGGGGCAGGCTGGCCCCAGCCAGGGCCACCACGGTGGGGAAGATGTCCAGCACGCTGCAGGAAGATCAAGACAGTGTTGGCCCCAGCTGTCCCCAGGCTCTCTCCCTGGCCGTGCTGGGGTCAAGAGCCGCCCAGACCAGCCCAGACGGAGCCCCGGCAGCCTCCCATACAGCCCCGCCCCCTCTGCCTCCTGTCCTGCCCTCCGGCCCCACCTGGATTTCCTACAGGAGCAGCACCCAGGCTCTGCAGCCAGGTGTTGCCTGGGCTCAAATCTCAGCTCGGCCATCTATCTGTCTAGCCCTCAGTTTTCTGTTCTCTAAAGTGGGCATGATAGGGGACTTCCCTGGTGGCCCAGTGGTTAGGACTCCGCACTTCCACTGCAGGGGGCACGGGTTCAATCCCTGGTCAGGGAGCTAAGATCCAGCAAGCCTCGCAGTGTGGCCAAAAAAATAAAAATAAAATGGGCATGATAATAATAGTACCTGCCTCACTGGGTGGCAGTGTGGATGAAACACACAGGTCATGCACGTAGAGGGCCTGGCACTCAGAGTGCTCACTGGATGTCTGTGTTATAATCACTCACAGGGACACCCCTGCAGACCTACCTAAGAACTAGGGGGCTGTAATAAAAAGGAATGAAATAGTGCCATTTGCAGAGACATGGATGGACCTAGAGACTGTCATACAGAGTGAAGTAAGTCAGAAAGAGAAAAACAAATATCGTATAATATTGCTTACATGTGGAATCTAGAAAAATGGTGCAGATGAACTTATTGGCAAAGCAGAAATAAAGTCACAGATGTAGAGAACAAACTTATGGTTACCGAGGGGGGAAGGGGGGTGGTGGGATGAAATGGGAGATTGGGATTGACGTGTACACACGACTATGTATAAAACAGATAACGAATGAGGACCCACTGTAGAGCCCAGGGAACTCCACTCCAGGCTCTGTGGTGACCTAAATGCGAAAAGAATCTAAAAAGGACTGGATATATGTATATGTATAATTGGTTCACTTTGCTGCACACCTGAAACTAACACAACATTGTAAATCAACTGTACTCCAATAAAAATTAATTTAAAAATAAATACATAAAACAAAAGTCAAAAAAAAGAAGAGCCAAGGGGCTCTACCTGTCACCACCTAGGCCACTGCCGCCCGCTGAGAGGGAACAGTGTGTGACAGGTGTGTCTGCAAGAGAGCATTTACTTTATTTTTCCCACCCTGGGTCTCCGCGTCGCAAATAGCTAGTCTTTGTCTAGAATGCCGTCATGTGTGACACATGCCATCCGCTTTCATTTAGCTCTGTTATTCCTGTTACAAAATAGTCAGTGTTCAGGGTGGGCAAATAGGATGCCATCCAGAAATATGAAAGCAGCAGCACCCACACAGCCACCCCCACCCCCCGCCCGAAGGCAGCCACTGTGAACACGTTGGCGGATTTTGTGAATTTGATTTTCTTTGTAGTCACGTGGTACCATTTCCCTCTACTCTACGGCACATCTCCCTCCAGCCTGCTGTGCTCAGGTCAGACAAAAACTCTTCGGCAAGAACACAGCTACTTATCTGAGGGCCAGGCTAACGGAGAGTCGGTGGGACTCGACAGAACCGGAGGACCAGGCCCGCACGAGGCTGGACATCCCGGGAAAGAGGGTCCACCTGAGGCTGGGCTCAGGGGGAGGCCTCCAGGCCTCACCTGCTGCTTCCCCAGCCCAGGGTCCGGGGGAGGCTCGCCCCCCAAGATGGGCCGCGGAAGGGAACTGCCACGTGCCCGCCTCCCCTTCTCCTCTGCTCCAGGGCTCTGTCTACAGCCCCAAGCAGGATCTCTCCCTCGACTACGGTACAGAGCGTCTCTGGTCTGCCTCTGGCTTCTACAGCTCATAGAGCCGGTGGCTTATCTCTCGCGACGCACATGCTCCAGGAGCTGGCGCCCCACGCGCATGCAAGTGCAAAAAGTGCACAGTAAGCCCTTGCGGAGTACAGAACAGTCCAGAAACCCGTCCGGAGTCCGAGGTCCCTGCCACAGATCAGGCAGCCCAGAGGACTGCAGTGCTGGCTGAAGAGGCAGGGGTGGCCGGCACTGCTGTTTGGAGCTTTCTCTCCGTTGCACCCCCAAGAGAGGCGTGCCTCCCAGAGGAGTCAGGTCAGTGCCAGAAGAACAGGGTCTGCCTTAGATTTGGGGGTGTGTGGTACATTTTCTTTTCCCGTCTTATTCCCCCCTCCGTCATCGTGAGGCTTAGCATCCTCATTATACAGCACAGAGTCTAATGTCCATGGAGTCCTAGTGTCTCAGAATCGGGCAGGAACCTCCAGAGCACAGAGGAAAGCTCGGGTCCGCAAGAAAAGCTTCTGCATCTCCAGGACTTGCCAGTCCAAGCTCAGGCTATCAAAGAGTCCTTCCTTACGTAAAGGAGAAAACCAAGCCCCCGAGGGGAGCCCTGGAGGAGGGAGATCCTCCCGGGACACAGAGCCCCAGACCCTGGGCCCCTGTGTGAACTTGGAGAAAGCATCAGTCCTGCAAAGGCTACCAAAGGGACCCCGCTACTCCAAACCCTCCCTAAGGAATCGGTCCCGGGAGTCTTGGAAACCTTGGGGAAAGAGACCAAAAAACCCCAAACCTAATTTTCAAATTTCCACAGTTCATTCTAATACCTGGGAAGGCGCATTCCGACTTTCATGGAACCTCAGTCCGTTTGCCTTTGTGGTTCCTTATTCCATATAAAATACTCAAAATTATATTTTACAATTCTGTTGACATAAAGATTATATAAATATATAAAGAGGAGATATTAAGCTATTTTTCTTCAACCTAAAAGTTTTTGTTTTTTCTTCCGGTTTCAAAGAAAATGAAAAGGTCGTGTGCCCCCAGCACCACGCCTCCAGCCCCGATGGGCAAATCGCCCTTGGGTTCTGGAGGCCCTGGTTATGAGACGGGCCGTCGAGAGCCTGCTTGCGGACGGGCAGGCACGGCGACCCAGAAGAGAGCCATCTGAGTGGGTCGGCTCCAGGGGGCACACACTGCAGGTTCTGTTGCCCATGTGAGAAGATTTTCTTCATGTGGCTTCAGCCAGCCCAAGGCACTGAAGGCTGTTCAGAGAAAGTGTGCATATTTGTGTTTTTATCCGAGGAATTGCCAACAGAACCTGCGTGTGGGGACTGGGCAATTGCGAGGAGGATACGGGGAGCTGCAGGGCTGCGGGGGGCTGGCCTGGATCTCAGGGCACGGGTCGATGGCACTGGGGCGCTTGCTGGGGTGCTGGGGGCGGAAGGGAGGCTGTTTCCTAGAAGCGCGGACATTACATCTGGGAAGTGGCCGGTGTGATCTGAAGACGGGAAGTGAGAAGGGCCAGGGCTGCTGGAGTGTAGGCTGGGGTGCGTGGGCCTGGACTCCGGACCTAGAGTGAGCCAGAGGAGAGCAGAACCCCTCCAGACCGTGGAAGAGTGGGACCAGTCCTGGATGTGGCGAGCGAGCTCTGTAGCCTCTGGCTGTAAGTTCCTTCCTGCAGGAAACTCGCTCGCATTACCTCTGGGGAAAGCTAGGTGCCCACCCCTTCCTGGCCTAAGTCCCTCGGTGGAGACTGGAGAGGCTGCAGGTCCCCCTTGGAGACCAGCAGGGCCCGGCAGCAACTTTGCAGGGAGCATGGTGGGGGGAGCCCACAGCACCAGGAAGACCCAACACCGAAGCACGCACATCCGTCCGTTACACAGCAGAGTGCCGCAGCAGTGCGGGTGAGGGAGGGTCCGCTGCCCATCTCCACCCCCATTACCCACTGCCAGATACGGGAAAGCAGTGGGGGGCGGGCCTTGAAAGGAGATGCGCGGCTGGGTCTCGCCCAGGGGTCGGTGACACCCAACCCACAGGACACCGTCGTGAGCATCACCTCTTTGCAGATCCTACTTCCGGGACTCAGTTCTGTGCCTCAAGACAGCCCAGAACCAGCCGAATCCCCCTGCACATAACTGCCCGCCTTTGGGATATGGGAAGACAGCCTCGGGGTCCACCAGCGGGTCATCCGCTCTCCAGGTGAAACAGACCTTTAGCTGTTTTTCAGATGAGATTATTGCAAGTCTTCCCTACCCTTCTAGCCGCTGTAGGCTTGCCCCAAGAATCTCCAAGAGAGCATTCCTCCGTTCTGAACAGAGATGGGGGCCTCCCAGCTCAGATGCAGAGCAGACCCCCCCACTTTTTGTACGTGACCAAGAGAAATCACTTGAGAGCTGTGATTCTCAACCGACATGAGTCTGTCCTCCCCAGGGGACACTTGGAGCCGCCCGGGGACATTCTGGGGCTGGGGAAGCCATGGGCATCCAGTGGGTGGAGGCCAGGGATGCTAGTAAACATCCTTAAACGCCCAGGACACCCTCCACCCCGAAGAACGGTCCAGCCCAAAATGTCAGCAGTGCCAAGGTTGAGATACCCCGCTTTAGAGTTTTAGGATCAAATCACCAGGCCCTTTTCAGACGTGCTGCCCTCCCGAAGGGACGTCAGCTCCTCAACAACACAAGCCTTCTGTCCGATGTGCCCGTTCTTACATCTCCAGTCCCTAGAGCCACGCTTGACCCGTAACTGGACCCAACAATTCATCTCCGTTGAATAAATGAATTTCCCCCATTCTGCAGTTGTGTCACTGGGCTTTGGGGTCAGGGCATCTGTAAGACCTTTCTTTTGATCTTATCACGTCACCTCGGTGCACACCTGATGATTAACACACTAGTTACGTCTAAAGGTAACCAATAGGCTTAGTGTGGACCCTTCTACTTCTTCCGTATTCACGTGAGTGTTATCAACTTGTCTACTCTCTGGTGTCCGTAATTCCTTAGGCACTGGGATATTGGGTTAAGGGATCCTGGCCTCAGCTCAGAGTGGCTGAAGGGAGTTATCTCTGATCTGGAAGGAGATGTATATCCTCTGGGGAAGAAAGTAGTAGACTAAGTGATAGAAGAGGTGATTAAGTACCGAATACGTGGGAGCGTCTGGCTGGGCTTCCAAGAACATGGAGCATAACAGCCTCAGTTTCTCGAATACGCATCATACCACCCTTCTCCTGAGAGCCGACCCGGAGGGAGTCCTGGCAGTCAGGGCGCTCCACCCAAGTTTGCTTTCCATGGATTCATGTGAGAAAATAGCAAGAGGATGAACTGTATGGAGACAGACTGTCCTGCTGCAATCAGGACTAATTTAACACCAAAAATATCCTAAGAGGGCCTGATCTGGTGTATCGGTAGTGTCCTGGTAAAATTCCCAGCAAATGTTACCTCGTACCAAGGCTGGCTTCCTTTGGACACTCACCAAAATATCCCCTAAGTCATTTGTCACCTCTGAAGCCCGGAATTATCAACAAAATGATGCAGTTTTATCACGGAGCCGTAGCTGACTGAAGGTGAGAACACCATTCTCAACTGAGAAGCACGAGCTTGGTTTCCGGTGATGTCACTTGAGAGACGGCATGTCCAGCCCAGCCCGTGAACCCTTGGCCTGACTGCAGCAAGTCGGGCCCATAAAAAGCAGCCCGCCTGGCCCTCTTCCCGGCCAGCCTGACATCACAGGCTCCAGCCGGAGCTGTTGTTGTCACGCCTGCCGGCAGCACCCCGCCCCCATCCCCACCCCCGATTGTACGGGGTTGACTGGGAGTTCCCGGGGGCCCAGAGGCTGCCAGGGACAGTGCCTACTCATCCCCGACTTCGGCTGTCACCGCTGTTCACCCTTCCTTTCCCCCCGGGCTTCAGTCTGCCCGCCTTCTCTCCATCACCTCCCCTCTGGGATGCTAGAGGAAACCAGTGAAGCCTGCTTTCCTCTACTGGGCTGTGTTCTCTAGGCCAGAACCCACTTGGTTAACCGTGAAGGACCTTTGGAAATAGGAAATTAGTCTTTAACCAGAATAAGACCTCTGAGCCTGTGAGCAAGCACCTGTGTCTACGGAGGGGCCCCCTTGTCCATGGATTCAGGGAAGAACCACGCAGAGGACGGGCCCTCCGGGGGAGTGAGAAGCCCTCGTTATAAGTCATGGTTGCAGAGCTGCGTGGTGTTGCTTTCGGGATGGCACACCACAGCCAAGTTCTCTGAGTTTGGGAAGTGTCTGGGGACACCTGGCCAGGGCAGGTGATGTTTGAGGTCTCTAGCCACGTAAGCATCCATGACTTTTTCCTACATCTCAAGGTAATTTGGGTCTCGTACCTTAGCAAAGCAGTGCTGGTGACGTTGACGGGGACCCTGCCGGGCCAGTAAGCCAGAGCCGGGACACGGTGTCCTCCTTCCCAGGTGGTCTGCTTGGCTGGACTTCCCCCTGTGAGAAGAGGGGAGACAGTTGGTTCTCTGGGAAAACAGTCCTACTCCACGGGGACTCTCTAAGAGCTTCTGATAATTCCATCAAAGGAATGACTTCCTTTAGCAATGAGCTATTTTTATTCATGTAGTTAATCTCTTTCAATACGTGCTTTTATTTTACCGGATTCAACACGTGTAACTAGCTGTGTCTGTCCCTGTCTAGGGAATCACGTCACTTAATTTCTTCATGCCACTTTGGCCACTTCAGACTGTCTGGCTTGTTTACGGACTGGCATCAGTCCTGTGCACCCGAGACATAGTAGGCGCTCAACAACTATCTGTTGAATAAATGAATGAATGAATATGTCTTCCTACAGATCATGTTTAGGATGGAAACATAAAACTATTTGAAATGAGATAAAGGCGGAAATTCCCACAGTTATTTGGTCCGCCCAACAACTGATCTGGCATAGGTTTTGTTGTTGTATTTTGTTCACTCTGCTTTACTTTTTTGTTTTCTTTTTTTTTTTTTTTGAATGAATGAGCTCTTC